AAATTACCAGTAGATGGTCTGAGATATCAACCAGCGCAGCCCTAGAAACCAAATCCATATTTATTTAGAATTTTTCCAGATATAGTCAATTAAAGAGGATAATTGCAGCAGCTTGTTAGAATGAAGCACTTTTAGGTACTCTTCAGTTATTGCAAGCTCGCTATATTTAAGAAAATCGATATTGAAATCTCCTGGAATATAAATCTCATACTTAACGTATCTCTTTGGTTAAAGAAACAAGCCAACAATTATTAATATATTATGAGGTAGTATCTTAGTGACAAAAAATCCAGGCACACATTAAGTAACAGCGGTTAATGCGTAGCTCTATAAGGAACTTGAGATCCGACGACAGCCGCAACGGTAACGAGAACGTCAAAAAAAAGCAATAGGTTAAATAAGAAGAACAGCAACTTCAACTTTACACGTGCATCACACTTTTTTGTACAATTCCTTGCTGTCACTGCACGACTTTGCCTAATTTAGCGTTTTATGGAGGGCATAAACAAGCGACGGCGAAATTCTGTTTCTCTTTCTGAACTAGAGTATGATTCTTAGGAATTGAACGGCAGGAGAGTTCGCCTACATTTGACAAAAAAGTAACAGAGTACGAATAATCGCGATAAAGATTAAAAGAAAGTGAATTCACTTTTTATGCGACGTTTTCGCTGCTTTTTCGTCCTCGGATCTTAATGTCCCTACTACTTCATTACTAACACGTTCCCCATTCACCGCCCCCACAGATAACCGGTGGTGACTTAATGTCAAACCTCATGGAAATGGAAAGCGGAAAGGTGTTTGACTCGCACAAGGAAACACTCGGTAGCATGTTACGAGAAGGAGCCCGCCTTATAAGTGTAGCGCAGAGGAAAAACACTGACGAGCGAAAAAGATCATCGTTCTTTACTAACCTCTTCAACAGGGAGTGAGAATTTGCAGCATTAAAGAACCTCACTGCTTTTGGTGGAAAACATAATCTTTTCAAGACTGTGTGATCCTATGTGTGTCTTTGCTTTGATTCAGGGAACAACTGTGGAGTTAGTTATTTTTTACCGTTTAGCCGACTGGCAACAATTCTTTTGCTGACATTTTTTAACCTGTTCGCTTTTTTGACGTTTCTTAGATACATATGTTACCATGAACAAGGCCAGTTTGGATTGATTTCCCGGGCCCAGATTCTTTTCTTCAGAAACTTTTTCAACCGTCTTTTGATTCAAACACGGTCTTTACTAGATATGGTTGATTGAAATTTTCTTTAACTGATGCAAGTATAACAAGCACAAATCAGTTTATATACAAAACATATGATGCAAGTCACAATTTCTGAGCAACTTGAGCCAGTAAGAACCGATAACATCCATAATATCTTCCATTGGAACGCCATACTGTAACACTTGCCTTTCTTCGTTTCAGATATATGTATTTGGAATGACAGTTTTTTAAATGTAATTTACCGTTCACTTTAAATTTAATAAACTGAATTCCAAGAGGTAAACTGAGGTTATTCCTTTCAGACTTAATCGCTCCTATGGTTGATACACCCACAATACATTTAGAAACCCTAGAAACCCCTCTTAAGTAACGCCAAATTGTTTGTTTTACTTGATGCGCCCTCATGAGCTTGACCCACCACGTTAAAGGGTGTGGTCTGCTAGCTAATGTTGGAGACACAGCAAAATAGAGACTGTGTCTTAAACTGGAGCTGAGGATATCCCGCGAATGAATATCGAACACCAGTTTCCACGCTAACAGCTATAAAAATACCACCTATAGCAGTAAATAAGGTTTGATTGCGAAACTGACAAATCGCACAATGTAAGGGTGGATGATTTGAAATGTTAACACTGATTTTCGAACTGTATTGACCCGTCAGGCTGATACTGATCAAGACAACCGTGAAATCCTTTTACAGGGCATGAACTAAAGACCCCAGTCTCGTACGCGTCCCAGCCAGACTGTTTGCCTGTGGAAAGCCAGTGTTCAGCATGCTTGTATACTTCTTTCCCATAGCGGTTTCTAGCATAAAGGCCTGGATTGAAAGGTGCATTGAGCCAGCTTCTGCTGAAATGGATCTTTGTTGGCAGGAGCCCATTGGTGTTGGTTCCTTTCGGGCTCATCCTGTGCTGACCATACATCTGAATGGACCAACCGTCCGCAAGTAACTCGATTTTGCCTCCGGCTAAACTGTCTTCCACGCAACACCATGGTTGCTCTAGGAACGAAAAAATTACAGTAGTTTTAACTGTAGACTTCTACTCGAACAATCAGAAGACTATAGTCGCTGTTAAACGAATGAAACGACGAAAACGAAATAGGCAAAATGCACGTGAAAACTCGTTGTGGTGAAACACATTGTCCCTTTACCAATCCATAAGCTTGTGAGAATCTTCGTGTTTCGTGAATGTGTCAAATGCCAACTATTTCGCGCTTGCTTTAGCATTGCGCTGTATCGCATATTTTGGCCTATATTAAACTATGCCCGTATATATAGTGCGTGTTTTCACTTACTCGTTGCTTTCTCTACCCATCTGTGCGACAATCTCTGTTTGATTAATAAGATTTAATACGCCTCTTAAGACTTGCCAACACAACTCTAAAGTTATTATACTTACTGATAGTAGTAATTACATATCCCTGTTTGATAAACACGTCTTGTAGCTTGACAAGCTTCGGAAAATCCGCCGTTAAAAACGTTATATCAGCATCTCTTTCCCAAGGTAACACTTTGTTTAGCTTAACAGCACCTAATAAAGTCCCTTCTTGAAGTTCGCATGACGCATTGTTCTCGCGACATTGGGACATGATAAATATAATTGCCTCAGCTAAGTTCTCTAGACAACATGGCGGAACAGCAAGCCCCGACTTTATCGGACACTTTTCACCATTACGATGTTTTATACCCCTTCGACAACCGAACCACCTGTTTCTGCCGTCTTCTTCGACTATCTTTTTAATTTCATGCTTGTTTGCAAAGTCGACCAGTTCCTCATCGTCCAGGTAAGCGTTCTTCACATGAAACATAACATCCGGGCAACTCACTACTGTAGCTTGAATACCATGACCGGTCACACCCTGATGAGATCTGCTATTTCGATCCTTTACTCTCAAAAATAAATCGCGGTAAATTCCGTGTCCACTATTAAGCTTAAAGCCAATATCTCTAAGTGCAGACGTTTTTGCGAAAAATGGACCCGACAGGTGATCGCAAACCAAACACTCGTCAATAGAGTGATAATAGCCGGACCTGTAAGTCAAGGTATAATTTTTGAGCTGCGTTTGAAGACAACCATTTGACCAGTGACCCGTTAAATTTCTATAGCTGCCACCAGCAAAAAAGGTTTTTTCACGAGTTGAAAGAACTCTTAAGAGCCTTTCAAGGTTCACATCTTCCGTGAAGTGGGTTACATGAGGTGCAATTAAAACATACTCTGTGTTTACTCCATCTATTATGTTCTGAAGAAGTTCTGCTTTACTGAACACATTCTCTCTTAAAGAATAAAATGAAGCTTTTTTGTATAATTTGGCAGTCGCCCTATTCTTTATCGCATCAAAGGAGCGTTGGTTCCAGTTCTTTCCTAAAATAAAATGCGTTCTGATTCCGGGATATAAACGATGTACGCTATCAAAAAATTCAAAAAACCATTTGAAGTGGCTGCTTTCACCTGATTGGTTAGTTTGCAAGGCTAGATGACCCGTTAACTTTGTCACCATCAAGTCATCAAAAATTAATGTCACGTGCATTTTTAAGTCTTTTCTTAGGGAACAGTCTTCCGTTTCAAAGCCTTGTCTATAAAACGGATAACCAAACATTGATCCTCTATAATGTTCAGGGCAGACAATTGCTGATGCTTTCGGCTCGTCTCCGCTGAGCCGTTGAAGCCTATCATCGTCCAAGTTCGATCTCGTAATCAACTCAATTTCTCGGAGAAGTTTTCGTAGATTATCGGAATGGTCGTCGATGATTCTTGCCATGGCTACATCACGATCCACGGACATCCGCACGTAATTGAGGTCTTTCGTTAATCGTCGAAGTCTTTGAACAATTTTCTCATGTGCCACGCATAGCGGTTTGTGGAGCACTTTCTTTAACATAGCTATTTGAGCTTCGTTTTGAGTAATGGTACGCGAAGTATAATAAATGTTAATGGATAAGTAGATGACTAGTAAAACCAGGAGAATCGTCTTTAGCTTTCTTTGAAGTCCTAGCATTCCAATAAGTCGACGAACAAACCGATCTTGTCTCAGTTTAGCTGATAATCTTGTCCTGTTTTCTGTTTGAAAGTCGCCGTAATTTGAAAACAGCATTTTCTAACTGCTGAACAATATGAACTCTCTTTCAAACAGCCCAAGGAGGACATTGATGATAATTCCAATTCAGTACCTGTTCTTTTGTTCAAGGCTTAGAAATCGAAGTGAAAAGATGAAAAATGTTTATTGTCTAACTGAATGTGAAGAAGTTTACCTTTCTTAACGCATATTAATTTGTTCAGGCTCCGCACGAGTCTATTTGCTGACTACGCAAGAAGGACGAGGAAGACTAAGTACAAGAGTCAGCGTTTGCAAAAATAACCACTTTAAACAAATTTATCCCCTTTTACGTTGCCGCGGATTGATGCAGAGATTGGGATTGATGATGGTAATCTTGATCATTTAAGAGCGTGACAGCTCATAGTCTCACATTTCCCATGATACACCTGGCATACCGAATGCTTTCTATTTCTCCCGAATGACTCCCGGATATGTGTTTAGAATGTGTTTCTTCCCTTTTTTGAGTGTGTGCGCGTGTGTGGTGGGTTGTGGATTTAGGAGGAAGGGGGGGGGGGGAAGGGGCAGTGTGAAAGTGGCTTGAGAAAATATGATCATAGATTTGGTGCGTTGCCGCATCAGACAGGATTTTCAGATCTCTGTTAAATTCTTTCGGGCTACCATTACTTGTGCCCGGAAATACTCAGCACCACCCAAACAAAAAAAATAACCATCGGCCTCTTACTGCAATGTTTGTCCATTTAATAAAATTAATGCGCGTTTACTCTGCTTCCTGTTCGTGTTATGTTTCATGGATGACGCGTATATATATTCTAAGAAAAGCCGCTTGTGGTAACACCTACTTGAATGTTAACATCAAGAATCTTTACAAGAAAGCGCGCAGTTATTCTGTAAAGTACGAAACGGGTGAAGCTGTATAAATTCTGAACTGCATCTGTTGTAGCTCTAATATATTTGTTTTTTCCTTCTTCTTCTTTTTCTTTCTGCTTTCTTTTGGTATGAGGAGTTATCTCTAGAATTACAGAATTAGAATTATCTCTAGAATTATTTTTTTGTCATTGATTTAGATCGAATAAGAAAGTCCAGAATTTACTATGGAGGCCTTATACGGACAAAATGTCGAAAGTTACAACCAACTTGAACAAAAACGGTAGTAAGTTACATCTTACCTGAGTACAAAATGTTTTAAAATTACTTGTTAAAAATGCTTAGCTTTTGTAAATCACTTAGCTTTGTCTCGACAACACATCGGGCTACAAATGCATTTTATAAAAAGCTTAAATATAATCTTCAAATTAATTCGTATAAAATATCCAACATTAGGAAGCTGAAAATGTTTTCGAAAACATCTTTACCTTCGCAGACCCAAAATATATAAAATGATACATTATAACGTTATTGCGAAATGCATTTTTACCATGAATACAGTAGCAAGTTCGCATTTAAATATCTCTTCGCTCATAAAAAAGAACTAAACAACGACGAAAAATTTTTACAACGCTGTGCTTCCCTGGTCAATGCTCCCTTGATTCACCTGTGGCACAAGTTGCTGCTGTTTGTTGCTGTTCGTTGTTTGTTTGTATTTTTAAACTCGCAAGAAAATCACGAGAAAAGAAAACGAAAAATGCTCAATTATCTTACGGCCGCATGTCTCGTACAGCCCACTAGACGACTGAGTCGAGATTTTGTCTCAAAGAACGTTAGGCGTTAAACACCAATCGAGGAGGAGAGGGCGTACACTAGAAAGCCTCGAGAAACAGGATATTAAAAGACATTCGCGAGTGTAACATGACTAGACTGCGTGACATACGAAACTAAACCTCTTGTTACGTCCATCTGCGAAACAGCGCATGAAACCTTGGTCTAGGTTACCAGCTATCATAATGCGCCATGAATGGCCTGTTAATAAAGCTATTCTTTGATTGGCCAATCAGTCTTGATAAAAAATAGACCTTTTTAGCTTGTATGTTTAGTTTTTCACATTTCAGGCCATGTGATGTTCCCCCAGAGAACTGTTTCTTCCAAATGTCTTCCTGTTCATGTGCATATGCATGCATAACTGACAAAACGACAAAATACAAATTCCCTTGAGAACGTCACGTGGTTTGAATTGGGAAAACAAAACGTACAAGCCAAAAAGATCTGGTAATTCGTTGAGTTCATTGAGGGTGCGAAACAAGGATCTCAGGGCTGCTTCACAGACGTCACAAGCCGAGGTAAGATTATGTCTGCGACGCAGGGTAAAAAATGCCATGAGGCCTAATTACATTAAAAACATTTTCTGTGAACAATGTCTGGACCCATCTCATCATACTCTTGAACTGAAATGCACATCTGAGGGAAAGTCGACAGTCCAGCAAGCACGGCACTGCCTTTCCACACGGCGTACTTCCGGTCTTCCGGGCTTATGACCTTGACCCGTCCTGGGTCACGTGGATTGACTAGCGTAAAAATCTCCTTATGAAGTCTTTGTTCTAGCCCAGGTAACATGGTACTGCCGCCTGCAAAAGTCAAATTTGAAAGGTACTATTACTAGCTGCTTTACTGAAAGAGGGAAGAAATGAGACTTACCAAAGCCTCTATAGCAGCGTATTGTCCGCCCTAATAACAGGACACTTGACAGACTATTGAGTCGTATTAAAAATGTGTCCTTCAACTGAAAGCCACGCTTTTTTTCTTTTTCTCTCACTTTCACCGTCACTGTACTCACCGAGAGTAAAGAAAGTCGGCTGAAGCTATGATAGAGGTCCCATTCAATAGTTTCTGCGGAGCGAGCGTAGCAACTTGTTAACCCTTTTAGACATACCCTACCCTTTCATATAATTCAACCAACGAAATCTCTACTCCTTTCGGGCGGAGCCTCCCCGTGTTGGCCATTATAAGGAGTACCTCCAACTCCCGGGGTCGCCCTACAGTCAACAAGACAACCGACGTAAGACTTCCCAACCTCTCTCTCCCTGATATGATTCAGATGGAAGCAAGGGTTCATTAAGTATTACTGGCTGGCAATTCATAAGCAGTGTTAGTACTCAAAGAATGACCTATCTCACCTGATAACAATATGTTCTCAAGTAATTCCTTTCTGATGTCCACGTCACATTTAGTAATACATTTGTAGATAGACTCGTGAATTCCAACAATGTCCCTCCCAAGCATACTGGGATTGAACAGTACTTCTGGACAGCGAAACCGCTCGCTTGCTAAGCGTATAGACTGGCCGTCTGGGAGCTGGAAAAGAAGAAACAAGCGCAGTATAATCGTTTGAGTTGTAGTTAAGGTCTGTTTTTGTGAACTTGGCCGCCAAGTGTGCGTGACTAATTTAATATAACAGAGATGCGAGAAGTAGGAAGGGCTTAGTAAACGATACCACAGTAAACCTAGTTTTAACAGAAGCCATTCTGGTGTAATCGTACGTAAACTACGCTGACAAAACCTAGTTACCAAGAAAAGTAATTCACTAAGGTCGTGAAAACGAGGGGCCAGTTATTCCCATGTCGGTTAAAGTTAATCCAATGACAACTGTTCCTTTTGCTCCGCTTCAAAACCTGCTGCATTTCACATGAAACAAATGCTTACATATTTTGATCAAAACTTGTTTCATTTTGGGATTTCAAAGACAGCCTGTCGTGACAATCGCTTAATCAAAGCTCACGAACTTAGTTTGAAAGGACAAGCGAAAGCGCACTCTGTCTCATAGTAGTAGTACGCTGACTTCGCGTTCAACATGTTGCGTGTCGCGTGAATGTTCCTTTACGTCGGTGAATATTTTGCCGCGAATCATCCTTTCCCCTCCCCCCTCCCACATCTCTTTCAGACATAATCCCACCCACCATATATAACTCCTCGAACTTGTTGCTGGTCTCAGATTCTTGCAATTCCTGCTCAAAATCAAGTGCAACATAGGCTAGCTTCTCCTTGATATCCCGTATGATCTCCATCTCTGCTGTCGTCGTGAAAGAGTAGCCCTGTTCTTTGAGGATCCTCATCATGTACCTGGTGAGGTCCCTTCCGGCTAGGTCCATTCTCTGAGTGGCGTGAGGGAGCCAGTAGCCCTCGTAGACTGGTACTGTATGGCTCACTCCATCACCACAGTCAAACACGGTGCCTGTTATCAGTACAACAGAAAATCGCTGATAAGCTCAAGATATTTCATGCGCAGTACGGTTCTCAACTTCCTGTAAAGCTATTTCAAACAACAGAGGCAAAAAAACCTGGTTCTTTTGTACGTTACACACGATCCTTCACCACCACAAACCACGTGATCCAAAACAAAACTCATTTATAAAAGACACCTACGTGACCCTAACCCTTTATCAAAAATCCAGGTTGACAAAATTCGACCTTCATGTAACAATTAAACATAACTAAGGGCTTTACGATAAGGAAATAAGCTGGAAATACGTGTTCTTTGCGCATCAATTAAACTAATACATGTATGAATTTACAAATTTTAATGCTAGGTTCAACATATCCTTATGGAATGCCGCTTATGACAGAAAGATTTATAAGTAAATATGAAGAAGAACTCAAATATTCGTATTAGACCATAATTATTGGTATCAAGATAAGAATATGGGTATTATAAAATCGACCTAAATTATATTTTCGCATCAATATTCGTACGTTGTTGACAAGATCCATGCAAACCTATACGTTACTAACCGTTATCTGATAACGTAAATATTCGTTCGAATTATACGTACGTAGCGTAAATATACGTTATGTTGCGTACGGCACAAATACGTTATGAACACAATATAATTACGTTAAGTGCCTTTTCATACGTATACGTTATGCGTAACATGTAACGTACGTTATGAGTACGCATTGGCCGTCCAGCGGTCAGATGTATCCAATGAGCATGCCCTAGGCGTCGGGGGAAAAGCCCGCGAAAACATGGAGGAAACGCGGCTTTGTCATTTTTGTAGTGGCCCTTGTTGTGGTCTTCCTTCCATTGACTCCCTTTTATCGGCAGGTTTGACCATTTTAATCTGCGGTGAAGCGAGCATGCTTAGCGCTTCGATACAGAAAATGGGACTCATATTCTTATCTTCATACCAATAATTAAGTTCTAATACGACCTGAATACATGAGTTCTTCTTCATATTTACATATTAATCTTTTTGTCATAAGTGGCATTCCATGTGAACCTTGTCGTCTTTTCAAAGCAAACGTAAACAATTTGAAGCCTACAAAAGAGCCCAAAAACAACAAACAAAGCGGCGGCTTACCTGTAGTTCTCCCTGTAGAGTAGAGCGCCATAACAGCTTGCACTGCTACATACAGACAAGGTGTATTAAAAGTTTCAAACATAATCTGTAACATACGCTCCCTGTTAAACTTGGGGTTCAACGGAGCCTCTGTTAGCAGCACCGGGTAATCCTGGGAATCAATTCGCAGCTGGTCGTAAGTGTAAGTCCAGATCTACACACACAAAAAAAACAACAAACAAGCGATCAAAACAGTAACTCATTACACAACGCTTTTAAAGTGCCGCAACACCACACCAACGGTGATTACTCAGTCTGATAATAGGCCACTTCCGAGTTCCAAAAACCCTCACTTTCAAAATGAGGCTAGGTGCACAACCTTTCTTGTGAAAATGAGTTTTATTTGCGTGGGAATGAAAAATGATTTTCATATCAAAGGCTGTGCACGTACCCTCGTTTTGAAACAGAGGTCCGGGGGAACTCGGACATGGCCTATTGCAATACAAACATATAACCAACTAGCCAATCAGAATGCGCCAATAAAAAAGCGCGGGAAATGCTTCCAGAGAAGTCGCAATTGGTTTCTATTTATCTTCTGATTGGTCGAAAACAAAGAGTGGAAGACACGTGTGAGGAACAGCTATCCGTATCATGACACTCACGGACTCCATATCATCCCAGTTCAGCACGATCCCATGCTCCAGTGGGTACTTCAGAGTTAAAACGCCACGCATGCTCTGTGCCTCATCGCCAATATAAAAATCTCTGTAATCTTGCATCATAGCCTCCTGTGGAAAGTCAAGAACACAGAGACAGGTGACTAGTAGCCTTTAAGTAATATCAGTGGCAGTCCACAACCAAATTTAAGCCCGGCTCTTTCTAACAATAATGCTGTACGCTTCTGTCTAAAACAATACAACGCTGACAAAAGTGCCATTGGAAACGTGCATTCAGAAACGTTTTTAAAATAGCACTCTTTTAATTTTTTCCCTTTATTTACTGCAGTCACAGTTGCAGTTCAATACTATATAAATTTGATGGACGCCCCAGTTGTTATTAAGGTTCATTTACGGTAAGCTAAAGACTACAAAAGCTTTTACCAAATGAAGGTTCTCACCTGATGACGCGGCTTGCCAACCACAGCCGGAAAAACTACTCGAGGCTGCTCTTCATTGGAGAATCCCGCTTTGCAAAAACCCGAGCCATTATCGATTACTGCGACAACTCCTCCGCTATGCTCCTAGAAATGAAACGCTCCGTTAGAAAAATTTAAGTAGGCATTAGGTAAAAATAAAAGTATTTCACTATCGTCAATTTCAAGACTAAGAGAAATGAACGATGATTTAAACTTACAAAAGCCACGTTATGTTCACTCGCCACAGGAGCGGAAATAGGTGGCGCCGGAGCACTGGTACGAGTTGACACAGTCCACGTGACGTTCCGGTCACAGGGTTTCTCGTCATCAGATCCCAGTGTTTCTCGGTCATCAGACGACTGCTCTCGCGCTTGTGCTAGGATGAGTTTCCCTACTTCGGCTAAATTCTCCCCGGTCTCTTCAGAACTCAGGGTGTCTTCCGAGTCACTTGAACCTATGATGTCAAGAAGATCATCCTCTTCTGCTTTCTTTGAAGAAATGGAAAGATTTGGTGGAGAGAGGGGTTTTGCGTTTTCTTTAACCGTATCTCTACTAGCCAATTTTTCATCTTGTTTTCCTAACACATTTTCTGCCTCGAACTGACTTCGTGTCCTTTCATCATAAGCCATTTTTTCAAGCTGCTCAAATTCTTCATCTGAGGCCGTTCTTGCGAATTCATCATTTGAATCATCGCTTTTACTCTTTCTTTCGGTACGAGCTTTCTGCTCATACAGAGCTTTCTCAAGCTGTTTAAACTCCTCGTCTGAGGAATCACTTAATGCATTTTCACCTAACTGTTTTGTTTTCTCTTCTGCTGCAATTCGAGCTTTTTCTTCATACATCAATCTTTCAATCTCCTCAAACTCCTGATCCGAAGATTTCGTTGTCGTCTCCAAGCCTGTTGAACCTTCCACCTCAATGTCACTTAATTCATTCTCAATCTCGCCCAGTCTTTTCACTAGTTCTTCTATCTGATGAGCGCTGGTATCGGTTAGCAGGCTACCATCTAATTCAGCATGGTCTTCAGCTGTTCCACCATCTTCATTTCTTGCATCCTCTTCTTGACCCTCTTCACTATCAAAGCTCTCATGCCGTAAATTCACGTCCTCCTCATTTTTATTCTGTGAATAACTTCGAAACACTGGATTATTGAATTTACCTTGCTCTTCAAGACTTAAACTAGCTTCAAACCTTTCAATAACATCATCAGAGCTATCAGACTCATCATCTGATTTCCAGTCTTTGTTAGCAACAGTGCTATGTAACTCAACAGGAAGTTCCTCCTCTTTTTCTTCCACTAACCCCTCTTTTTCCATGTTTATGTCTTTTATTTCATCAACGTCTACCCCGCCGAAGCTTTCCTTGGGATCTTCAGGCGACGTTCTTACTGAGGCCGCTTTCAGTAGTTCTATAAGTTCATCTTCTGGCGATACTTTGCTTTCCTCGCTGATGAAATCGCACTGTTCAATGTCTATATCCTCAAGCTGACTTTCTACTGGAGATGAGCCTGCAGGGTTGGAATCAGCGTCCTCACTTTCCATGACAAGTTCGCTATCGTTTATAGCAAGCTCCGGGTTTTGCGGTTCAGTGTTGATATCCTTTAACTCGGTATTTTCAGCCATAATCCGCTGGGGGTCCTGTGTTTCACTGCTTAGCGACTCTGTCTCATTAGCTTGATCAAGTGTTTCGGAATTTGTTTTGGAACGAAAATATGCTAGTCTCTTCTCGCGTATTTCTTCCGTGTCTCTTTTATTTACATCAGGTTCCTACACACAAAAAATAAAAAATTAATAATACACTAGTTAAAGTATGACCTCTCAACAGGGCTGGTGTTTAATCAATAGAGATAGAAGCAATGATGCTATGGAGAGTCAAGATGGCGCTCACGAGGGCGTACGTCTTGAATGTAGACAGTGATTGCGTTGTCTTGTTAGAGTTTCAAGCGTATCGAATCAGCTTAAGCTTACGCGAAGGCAAATCTTATTTTTCTTTCAAAACTAAAAAATAAAACATCTACGATTTTTCACCTCATCGACTGACAGTTCCTCTTCCACCATCTCCACCTCCCTTTCATCAATGGTCATACTTTCGTGCATGCGCCGTCGCCGGTTTTCTTGTTCTGCCATCCACTGGTTTTGTCGTTCTTCTTCTTCTTTCAGTCGGCGCTGCTCTTCCAAGAACTTCATTTCCTCTCTTTTGAGGCTGTCGCGCAATTCCTTTTGTTCAAACTCAAGCTTTTCTTTTAGTTTTACAACTTCATGATCATCAAAACTCGGCTGCTTTACAGCCACTAGTTTTCCTTTTTCTTCAGGGGCAACATAATATTCTTTTTCATCATCAGTTCCTTGGACAAGAAACTCGCCGCTGGGTTGGTCTTCATGTTTACCAACAGCAATTTGATTGACAGGTGATGCTTCATTTGATAAGCCTGCTATATCAACAGCATTACTGATGCGTTGCTCCCTATCTTCAGCCTCTAGTACTTTTGTCGCGGTGTTTTGACTAACAGGGAGAATGCTGATATTTCGTGTCCTTTCTCTTTGGTTCACCTCATCACTATTATCTTCAGTTTTCTTTAAATCACGGTCTAAAATATTACTAGTGGTTGTTCCATTGTGCGCATGAACTCCATTTACTGTTTGTGTCTCCTTGTTAACAGAAGCAGGTTTATTAACTATTACATCAGACGCACGCGTAACTATTTGGTTAGAAACATTTCCAGTGCCGATACTTGTATCCTGGAAGCCAGTGAACGCATTCCCAATCCTTTGTGAATGAAAAGGAGCCAAATTCGTGGCAAACTGAGTTTGAGATGTTGTTTGCTGGTATCCAAATCTTTGTGGAACATTTATTCCGTTAGCAGCTGGGCCTGGGACTAAAGGATATGTGGAATTCTGCTGCGGTTGCTGAGCAAGAAACCGCTGGCCGAAATGACTGTAAGACTGGTTCGTATAGTTATTGGTTTGCAATGACTGCGAATTAAATGGCGAAAGAATATATTCTGGATCTGATTTAACCACGCCATTTTTCACTAAGACTTCAACTTCGCCATGGGATAAATGTTGAAATAAAGCTGCAATAGCTTTCTCAATACCAGAAAGCTGCTCTTGTGCGTAGAAGTACTGCTCTTCTACCTCATGTCTTACAACAGTGTTTAGCGGCTGTGCGAGTATTTGCCGCTGATGTCGAATCCGGCTCATCCAGTACATTTCCTGTTGTTTTAACGCGCAAAACTGTTCAATTTTGTCTTGTGATACATCCGAAACCCTTGAGTGCTTTTTTTGACTTCCAGCAGATGGTGGGGTATATCCAGAAGATGACGGGGAGCTGTCAACGAAGCTGTTGGAAATTTTCGGCTCATGAACACCGTTATAATAACCGTTGGTAGTGACTTTGGGTGAAGACCTCTGCGCTCCATTTGTATGTGGGTAGGTTTTAACTTCAGGGGAAAGAGAATCATGTTTCAAAGGAGACGTATCGTCTTCGTCATCTCTTAAAAACAACATCTCACTGAGCAAGCCTTCCACTTCTCGATCTATCGAATCATCCGAAGTTAGTTCTGGTTTAACTGTGAGGGACGAAGGACCAGAAGTAAAATGACCCGAACTTAAGGAGGATACCTTGAAGTCTTTTGGGTGCTTACCCTGACTACTGACGCTTGGACCGGAAGTTGATATCGATTTAGGATTGAGGTAGCGTTCGTGGTCACTGAAACTTGCGTGGTTTACGTTCAGCTCACTTAAGTCAAGTGGAGGAACAATTTTTCGTCTGATTTGTTGAAGTTCCTTTAGTTCTTTTTCCAGTTTCATCTGTTCCATAAGCAGATTATCTATGCTCTTTGATTCTTTTTCCGTTTTCTTGACTTTCTTCCGCTCCGGTTTCTTAGGCGCCATTTTTCTCGTATATGATTTTAAAGGTCCGTTGTTCAATAAATCGCCATTTTGTTCTGTTTGCTGCACCAGAGGGTAATTGACGTATTTCGGCTGTCTCTCAAAACTTTCTCTTGGATCCCTACCCCTGCTGTGTTTAAGATATCTCCCTGTTTCCCCAGGGGGACATGTTTGACTCATCACATCACCTTTCACAAATCCGTTAAAGTCAGACTGCGAAGAGTCTGGCAGTTTAGAAGTTTCCCTGCTGTGTAGCTGCTTTTGTTTCAAGTCCATCGCCGCCGAATCACTGGTTCCATTTATCGCTGTGGCAGGTCGTCTCACAGGAGGTGTTGGTAAAATAAGGGTTTCTTCAGCTGAGGAGTAATCACGTGACCCGGTATACAAAGACCCATTACTGCTGTTAGTTCTGTTGGGTGTGTTCTTGAGCCTGCTGTATGCAGATTCAGCCGCAGTTTGTTTGAGGAATTCGCTGAAATTGAAAAACCACAAATATTGAATTATTATCAAACCGACTTCATGATCACGCATGTCACACAACTCTTTACGGAATAAGTTAAGCGACAGTGCACTGCTGTTGTGCAGACAATGACAAACATAAACACGGACATGGTTATTATTTAAGTTACAATTTTGAATTAGCGGAAAATGTCAAACATTTCCTGGAGTTTTTCGATTTCTCCCTTAACTTTCTTTCAGGCCCAATTTCCCACTTTTCAAGGACTCCATTCAGTGTAAAAAAAAGGAGCCTTGAGACTCTGTCTGTTTTGCTTCTTCCACGACATGAGCAATTTTATCCTGAAGGTCTTTCTGTGTTTGCGCCTTTTAGGCAGTGGAGAATCTGGGTTGGATAAAGTTAGCATCGAAATGCAAGGTACCTTCGAACCCAGAAGAAACTGTTAAAAATGACAGGAGCCGGCGTTTCTCGTACAGAATAACTGATGAACAAACCTTGGCATTCTCCCAGGAGCATCTACTGATCGTTCCTCATTGCTTGTTTCTCGTCCATTGCCATATTCAATTAAATGGGTCTCGCGGGCACGGATAATCTTTTCTAGCTGTTTACAACGATGCGTTAGTAGCTTTGCTTGGTTCCTTAAATGGGTATCCGGGACTTTTTCCAAAAACGTTTCCAAATGTAGCAGCTCCTGAGGGGAAAGGGGTGGGTACTTGACCAGAAACCTCGCCAGTCTTCCCTCCTGGTGTTGTAGGTCCCGGTAGGAAGTAGAGCGTGTTGAGCTGGAGGGCCAGAACTCAGCCGCTTTACTGTACCACGTCTCCGCCTAGGTAAATAAGACAATGGCACATTTTAAATATAATAATTAAGCAAATGTCCTTTAATAAGCCTCGGCAGTATTTATAGCGCAAAGATTAGTTACGCCGAGCAAATGACCAAAAACAATCATTTGGATGGTAACACTCTAAACTGATGGAATTTACAGAATACAATTCCTTCTAGCTGACGTCACGGAAGGATATGAACGCTTCCAGATTGAAAACCAAGAACTCATGACCGTTCGGTCACGCTATTGTTTAGCATTCCCTTTTAATATAAAAGTCAGAGATTGGATGGGACAGTGCAGTAGGCGTAGGTTTCTAGAAAAACGAAACTAATAATGGTTCAACCAATGGTTCAATCTTATTGAAGTTACATGTACTACGGGTGTGGTAATAGCATGATTTGTAGTGATATTTGGCATAAATACCACGAGTGATATTTCAAACTTGTTGTACGTAATTTCACGAGCCCTTAGGCGAGTGAAATCTGAGACAATTTGGAAATATCACGTACAAATAATGCTACTATTTGTTTATACTACTGCCCGCAAAAGGTTTGTAATTTTCACATGTAGGTAGTTCAAATTAAGCTGACATACCACTGCTCTAAGCCAATCAAATTGCTACATATATTTTTTTTGGCTATAGATTGTTTCAGCAAATAAGGAATAAAGAGGGCATTTCAGATGTGGTTCATTATGTAAGGCCAAACGACAAATCTTCAACTAAAAAGTCTTCCTCTTTTTGTCTCTTTGACATAATTTAATCAAAGCAAATACCAATGAGAAAAAAGACCACTGGTTTGTAGTTAGAGGAAAAGCGTTTGCATAAAGGATTAGTGACTACTTGGGTCCCTCGCCTTATTCAAAAGATTGTAAAAATTGACAGCATCTTCCAGCCAGCGTTTTACATGTTCCACTCTATTGCTGAAGTTTTCCAGATCAGATGTCAAGACTTTAGAGGCAGCTTGAAGTGGTCTCTTGTCGCGAAGATTTCTGGTGCTCATTTCCTCAGCTTGCTTTGCCAGCCCTCTTCCTTGAAATACTACTTCCTGTTCAAATAAACAAAGTTTACATAGAATGACGTGACATTTAACAAAAACACAGTTGTATTTGCCAATTTTACATTGCCCATAGACACCTTCTCGGCTTTATCGCCTACAAGTTTGCGTTTTCCTCTGGATCGAAAACAACAGTCACGCAAAACTCTCGGAGTTATATAACAAGATGAATTATGAGCAATGCGAAAAGGCAAATTTAAAGTTTGTGTGCAAGACGCCTGCTTGGCCAGTAATTAATAAGTTTACATTAGGAAATGAAGTTACACTTCACACTAGCTGCAGTTATATAGATCGTTAACTGAGGACCAATTAGCCAAAAATTATTCTCTTTATTCCCTGTCATGAAGTGTCTCACGGTGAACGCAACCTAGGGCGACAGAATACCTCCTTAGTAGGTGACAACCATCGGCAACTATCTGCCGACCAAACAGTCAAAAGAAGCTTTTTAGCCGAACAGTCCATCGATGATGATAATGAGTTAGTTAACTGTAGCCGCCTCTCATCGCTAACCGGCACGAAACGTCCCAAGCAGCGATCAGCAACAAAAGGCAGCTGTATTGTATTCATTGGCTTGTAAACATAATGATAAAATGTTTCATCAAACCTTAGCCAGTGGATAAAACTCCCCGTCAAACTGTGCTTTACTTTGATTGGCTGATCGCAGAGAATCGCAAGCTTGAGAGAATGTGTTCAATTGATTTTCAGCATCTCCACGAATCCATTTTACCAGCTACAACAAGAACAGCAAAACCACAGACTTAACTCGTATTGTGACTTCTCTTTGCGAAAGAAAAGCCCTTTCAAGGTATTCTCGTGGTACCTTGTTAAGGCTACGTGCGAATAGTATAGTAAATGATGGCGCTTGCTCCATTTCTTCTTTGATCTGATCGGAATAAATATGTAGACTAATAATGCATCATATATGGTCATCTGCAGTATTTGCGGACTGTTTCTTGCATAATTTTATGCGATGTGGATTCCATATCCCAGATTATTACGGAAAAGTGCCACACGATCCGAGGACATTCCTAACTTATAAAAACAAGAAGACTAAGACATCCCTGATTATCTGCGGTTTAATCGGAGATAATCCAGGAAAGCATGATGCGCTTTACTGTGCTTTTCTTTAATACAATGACGCGCTGCAGATTTCTGCGATAGTTAGCACGCATTTCCGACATAAGGCACGTGTATAAATATACAAAGAGAGAATTCTCAAAGTTCCGGGACATCAAGGATACACGCATAAGCTTCTGTCATGGCCTCAGTTTTTAACTTGCATACCACTGTAAGTGGCCAAAATTCTTGTATATCTTGCGCAGAATTGTATGCAAACAGTTTACCTCATACACTTAAGGTAACTCTAGACTCGTTTAACTGCTGCGTACAAATGGAATGTTTAATCCATAGGTAAATTTGGCAATGTTCACGGTGCTAAGCGTTACGTACAGACCTCAGCCGGCATTCAACAGAGATTGTTAAGCGGTCTGTACTTCATAATACACCTGCCCGCGGATTTCTCTTGTTAACAACAACTATGAAGAATCTGTTTCATATCAATATAGCTTAAACCTTGTATTTACACAGAAGCCTCTTTGGTTCATACACTGTAGTTCCGCTGCTAGAATCACTAACTGACAGGTCGTTTAAATTTTGCAGTTTGCGCCTTACTGTAACATAACTTTAATTCAGCATAGGACTCAAAGTGTTATGTGGAGTACAGACCTCTAACTGTAAAAAAGAATCAATTATTTCATATTTTCATTTAGGACTCTAACTCACATTACACCTTAAGTCCTACGACTTCTTTTGTCAAGAACAACTCTGAAGAAACTGTTTATAATCATCAACATAGCTATAACCTTATTTTTAAATTATGGCAATTATTTTTTACTTTACTTTACTTTTTTTTTGGCGCAAAGGCTCTTAGGCTCACGGTTCCGCTTTTCAGGATCACCAAGAGTCAGGTCGTTTAAAGTTTCCAGTTTGTGCTCTTCTGTAACATAAGTTAATTCACAGAGGCCTTACCCGACTCAGATTCTCTTTCAGTTCAAGAACATCCTTGGCCTGGGAACTAGTGACCGGAACAGGGTGAGAAGTAGTTCCACCTTTCAAGGCGTCTTGTAGCTGTTTTTTAGCGTGCATGAGCTGGTCACGGTAAGGTTGGATGGTTTCCATCATAGAGGCATACTGAGGAGTTTTGGACATCACTGAGAACGTTCTGTCAGATCCAGGTCTGACCGTCAGCTCTCTGAGATGGTTTCCTTCTTCAATGGCAACATCGATGGATAAATCACTGAAGGTTATTTAAAAAAGCACGCTCCATCACAATATGATCATTTTCTCTGAAACTGATGGTAACTTCTTCAAACTGTTACATAAACACATGCACAGTCGGCCCCTAACAAAAAGCGCGGGAATAATTTTATTTCTGATTGGTTGAGAAGCGGCGGAAATTCTCTCCACCAATTACGAAGCAAAGAAAAACCAACAATTGTTCAACTTCTAGTTACTAATAACTTTTGACGTTCAAGAGAAATTCTAGTACTGTGGCGGTACAAGCAGCCACGCTGGATTATTTACCGTTTTATCTTTGCCTTCTTTTCTTCCACTCTCTGAAGGACTAAATCTCCACCGGATTGCTCCTTTCTAGACTGCATCCTTTTTAGAGATTTCACTTCATTTAGTGCTTTAGGAAGGTGAGTTGTGATGTAGTCGCTAGTGAAATAGAATTCCTCCAACTTCTGTGGACAGAAACAGAAGCATATAACAGAAGCATATATGCTTCTGACAAAAAACAATACAGGCAACGCTGGAAATAGCTATAAAACGGAAAGTGTAGAAATGTAAAAAGCATGCGTTTTAATAGAGGGAATAATCGGACATGCAGGTGCAACTACAAAAGTAAGGTACTGTCGAACCTACACTGACGCCCCCCTCTCCAAAACAGCAACCCCTCTACAACGGCAACGGCCACTAACGCATGTCCCCAACTGCCAAAATAACCCCTCGACAACGGCCAGTTTTTTTTTTCAGTGACTGATGAAAAAGTCTAGGATGGTCACGAATTGAGACATTTATGACAAATCACGGCCATCGTATTTTGATTTTGCTTCATTTCAATATACCGCTGCAGTCACCAAAAATTGTCTACGATACTTATAGATGGTTTTCACTGTGACGTCATCAAATTGTAAAGTCAAAATAGCGAGGTTTTACGAATTCTTATTTACACTAGGTTGAAGATAAACAAAAAGTAAATCTTTGTACAAGTTTCTATTTCCGTAGCATGTTTCATTTCGAAAATACAGCAATTTGAACTTCCGAGTTTTCACAGTGCGTGACGCCAAAATAGGAATGCTTTCTCGTTGAAAAGAAATCTCTCCTCTTGATTTTCGGCAATATAACCACTTCAAGTATTAGAAGATATGTTTATGCGTACGTACGCTAGTTCTCGAGTGAAAAGAAAGAGCTTTTATAGAAAAAGTAAACTTCAGATGTTTTTTGTTGATTCGGTGCACCAATATGGCGTCTCTATACAAAGCTCCCCACAAAGGTGCGTGAGATGTTTCGCCAAATAACTCAGAAACTATGGGCCACAAAGACCTGAGACTTGGACAAATTGTATCTAAATTATATTAGTCTTTTATAACAGTTCATTTTCTTGGTTTCTTCCACTGGGCGGTTTCCAATTTGGTCTTTTGTTGCGTGACAGTGAAAACTATCTACAGCGAATGTTGCAAACCTTGCTCGTTTGGTCACGTTAACATTTTGATGCACGACATAACTAAAGCTTTTTATGTATTTTATCTCTATACATTACATATGATTGGATTACCATGATTATGGAACACAGTAAGCATGAATGTAGCACAAAAAACATGTTGTACTCCCTAAAAAAATTGTCATATGACACCCTTACCTCCCCGGCGGCCACTTTCTTCTGTCGCCAAGGTGGCCATTGTAGAGAGGTTTGACTGTATACCAGACTGTATACAGTATTCATTTGTTAATTCTTTACAAAAAAATACATTGTAGAATACAGATCAAGGTGAATTTGATACCTTTTGCAACCTGATCCATGCTTTATGATCATAAGCAAGTGAGCCACCGAAAGCGGTAGTCAGTTGACTGGCTTCAATGTAGGTCAAGAGATTAGATGTTCCTTGTACTGGAACAGTCTGAAAAGACAGTAAACTTAATTTATAATGAATACTAACAAACATTTAAACTTATTACAATTACTTGATTTGAAACTTTTACTTTCATTTCTTAACTCAAAGGCAAAAACTTTCCACTTCTAGATGAGGAATGATTGAAAGCAAATTCAATTCAATTACTGGATTTGAAGGGAGCTACAAGCATGTGACATACGTTTTTAATATACAGTGTAAATGAACCTGAAAATTAAGCTGTCCTTTTTCGTGCCGAGCATGAATCTCTCTGGTTAAATGTCTCTTTACTTGCTTATTCTCTGGTAAAATGATGTAAAGACTTCGAACTGAACGAGTGTCATTCTAAAACAAACAAACAGACAAAGAATACAACAGTGAAATTTATAGGATATATATGTTAAGTTAAACCATATCTCAGACATTATAAAAAAACAATTACCTGAAATATTTGAATCAAGTCTATGACATGAGATACTACTGCTTCCCTAGAACTCCGGAAGTCAATCAGAAATGAGATTCCAGCCTCTTTATACCACGACCTATAAAACAAAATAATTTTGTTAATTATTTGGTTGTCTCTCTGTTGTTGTTTTTTCTTTCTTTTGTTCTTCTTGTTTTTGTCTGAAAGGTGTTAAATGCCAGTTTAAGCTCCATAAAACTAAACATAACAAACCTGGCAAGAAAAGCAAGATATTTCAGCAGCCTGATAACATCAGCGGGGTTGAGTAAGACAAGGCTGGAGTAACGCTGAGATGACAGTGTCACCAAGGGATGACCTTGTAAGTCACAACCACCTGCACACGAAACGACATCAAGTTAATCTAAACATTTCATTAAAACAAGTCTACAAAGACATAGTTCCATCAAGACAAAATGCAGTACATTTTCCTGAAAACAAATTCAACAGTTACAGTTTTAAGAAACTAGTAGCTTCATAAATTGGGTAGAATATGTTTTTCTGGGTGCGTTATACATTCAATATTTATGTCATTTCAATAATTTCTGGTTATTGGCAGAAAACTGTTAAGAGTACATGTAGCCTATTATAATCTGAAGTGCTTAATAACAGAAAATAGCTATTGCCAAGAGTAACAACCTGTGAGTATGGCAATCTCTGACAAGATGAGGTTGTCTTCAGGCATATATAGCCTTTTTTCTTTAATTTTAGATCTTGCACTCATTGCCTACAAATGAAAAACACATGACAATCATCTCAAGCTCTTTACACCAGGGAGTTTGAGTTATCAACAAATTATTTATAATTCATTTATTTTGAAAATAATAAAAGATAATGTTACTGTGAGTTATCATTAGTTTGTAGAAAAATGTTGTAACACACTGTACTCACACACAGCATGAAAAACAAAATTGCTTTTACAAGTAAACACTAATTAAGGTGCCCATTCTTAGGGCATGTTTGATTGACTATCCAGAGTAAGAATAAATGGAATAAACTCTAGAAATCCCTCACTTTGGCATTCCTGCCATCGAAATATCTAAAAGCCAGCTTGAAATAAAATATTTTGAGGTATGTAGAATTTACATGGTTCAAAAATCAGGGTAGAAGAGATCTGGAACACAACTTTTGGACACATGCATTCTTATCATGGAATAATTTGTGATAAATCAAACACACCCTAACAATGGTCACATGTTTATAGTGTATAAATACACTAACACACACTGTTGAGGAGCAGGTTGCTGAGGTAATATGTGTGTTCTGAACAGAATCAGAATCACCTCATGCTCAATATTAACACTGTATCTAACAAAATAACTGCATAAAACAAGTTTCATACTGTGAAATGACACAACTATATCCTCAGAAATAGATACATTGTAGTGGTATCCTCTTCATTACTTTCTACCAAACATTGTATATGCACATTTACTCATTTCTCAAGATTGTTTAAGCATAAATTTATTCATAAAGTCAAAAGTAGGACAAAAATGTTGAGCATCACAACAGGTGGAATTATTAATTTCTGGGGTTTGAAATTAAAACTGCCAATATAACTATTTCATTTTTGTTATTATTAGTTTTCAGTTCTCTAGCTATTCACTCAACATAAGGTTAATTAATTTCATTCTGGCCTGGAGTTCTTTTCATACAGCTGAGAAGATTTTTTCCCAAACTAATAACACACACAAACACACAGCTCTTTCATTTTAGCCTATTAAAGTGTCTTAACTTGTAGTTAAAAATGCCCACTTGAACAAAATGATGCAGGGCTCGAATAAAGTCCCATACAGCAATCTGGGACAAGAGGATTTTCTTGCTGGGCGAGTAACTTTTAAGCCTGGTTTCCACATGATCATCTGGATCATCCTCATCACCCCATGCAGTAGTGTCAAATAATATTCAAGTGATCAGGATGATCATATGGGAACACTACCCGGATGATAACAAACAACATGGACAACTGAGATGACCTCAATCGCTTGGACAGAATTAAGTTCTTTTAGTTATCTCAAAAATAGGGAGCAAGGGTGGCACAGTGATGAGAGCACTTGCCTCCCACCAATGTGGCAGTCATATGGAAACAAGGTTTAAAGCTCACTTGCCCAAAGGGCAAGGGTCCAGGCAGGCCATCTTCTAACAAAATAATTAACTAAGATGAGCAAGAAGTAGCCCTGTGCAAATAAAATATGAGAGAGCTGCTTCCTCAAAGGACAGGCTGGAAACTATTCAAGTTTTTTTCAAGCCCTAGCAAGTGTGATGGCTGTCTCTGTTACTGATCCTATGAGAACTAAAATTTTCCCCATATAGCAATATCTGAATGATCATGTTTACAATCAACAAGAATCCCACCAAGGGGGCAGTTTGTTTAAGAATGAATGATTAGATACCAGTGTTACACGCCGTAATGTGGGTGCTGCAAAGTGTGTGCAGTGCCCGTTAAACCAAGACTTACCTATTTCTAAATTTTTCTTGCATGTATTTTGCCTAGGCCAGCTAAAACCAACCTTATCATCTTATTTTCTCATGGGCATAAATAATTAATTTTAAAATTTAACAAGACCGTGGTAAATATTGTGCAAAATATGTAAATTTTCAATTATTTTGAAAAAAATACCTGTCCAGTATATGTATCAGAACCCTACTTGTGAGATGTTTGGTGCAATTTTGGTGGCTGATGTGAGTATTTCAAATATTCATAACAAGTGATATAAGTATCAGCAACAGTTTTTACAAAGACAAAGGGCATCCTAATAAAAAAGCAACATCAAGCTCCAACCCTTGGGGCGTGAGAATAATTAGCATTTATGGTTGCTGTCATTGTGAAATGCATTTAAAACATTATTGAGACTGTAGATAACATGATTATACTGATGCCTTCCACCAAGAGGCCTACAGGCCTAGAAGGTCTAAGGAGATTGAACTTATTCAAGAAAATGGAAAGCACAGTGATTATAGCAGGGCAAAGTTCAATATGCATGTTCAGCTGTACACACTGCAAAAAGTAATGACGAAGATGTTTTGCTGCTGAGATACAGCTGTAGTGAATGTTCAAGACAGCGAACACAGACGCCATTTAGCTTTGACTGGTTTTAACATGACCTCACAACAGGAGATGACTCACGTTATCAGTAAGTCCTGCCCTGCCTGGGAGCAATGAAAAGATACCACGATTTTGTAAGAGATAGTCACAAACTGTCACAATGAAGAGTTTGGTCAAAAGAAATGAGAGTCAAGCAAAAAATTAAAAGATTATTTAAAAACGACAATCTTGGATAAAACTGTTGAGAAAATTGTATACTATGGGGGCATTTTCTAAACATTGTAGCTGTACTAGTCCTTCCCTCTCCTCCTTCTCCTGAAAGTAATGTTGTTGTTTTGTTATTGAAGGAACCAAAATTGACCTGGGGGAAGGGGATTTCTTTCCGCAAAGGCATCATTTTGGAAATAGTTTTGTTGCGTAGGAAAGTGGACATGATTGGGAAAACTTTCTCAAGTAGTTTTGTCCGGGATTGTAGCAATTAACATTCTACAGTCAAAGATAATGCAAAGATCAAATTAATTGTTTTTGTTTTTATGATAGACATTTTTTGGCATTTATAGTACATGGTGGTATGTGGAATTTTACATACCACCCATGAAATATGTATGTATCCAAGTACCCTCTGTCAAGAGTCTTCAAAATTGTTTAATCTTCAGCTTTGTATACAGAAAATATTTTTATCATAATTATTATTTGACTTTCGGGCCAATTACAATTTACCTCCACCATGCAAAAGTGTTAAAAATATATAGATATTTCCAAAAATCACCTATCCTAAACAAATCTTCATTCATTCGTCACTTATCGGCGTCAACATGAGAACAGCACCGATCAATAGATACCATTTATCACCATTTTGACAAATCTGCTCTAACTATGGCCTACAGCAAAGTTCTACAAACCATACAAAAGATTCTTGACAAATTCACGATTAAGCTTATTGTAGCGTGAAGTTTGTATGGACCTAACAGCAAGGTAAATTTAGCAACTCAATAAAAACTCAACAACAACATAACAAACATGCATGCCCATAGTCCAATCTGTCTGCGAGTAAAAAAAGTGCTATAAATTATTCCTTAATTTCCGTGGTGTGCAAACAAGACAGACCGCATTGAAGTAAATTTGTTAGTGTTTCAGTTAGTATGGATGGTAGAAAATGTAATAGATTTGCGTTTTATTTTTTCGCATAAGTGTCTCGTTTTTCGCTTCACCACTGTTACATTTAAGCTTAGTTTACCTCTGGCAACAACAACAGCTGTTCTGAGAGTCTGAGGAAGCTAAGTGAAATTAGAACACTGAATATTGCTATTGATCTTAGAAAAATTATGAACAACAAGACGCTACCTACCGTTCAATAGCGTATCCAGGCACGATGTCTCTTCCACCCTGCACTACAACATTCTGCTGAGTAATTTTGAAGAGTAACATAATCGAACGAGGAATCCGCGATCGAGAGTACATCGTCGTAAGAACTCCTTATTCCTTGTCGCTATAAATCCAGCTGAGGTATGATATCAGTGATATACACGACTTCCAAACTCCTTAAATAAAGGCCTCTAGCAGACACATCACAAGGCTTGATTCATGTGAGCTGTCAAAAAGTGATGAATTGACAATAATGGGCTAAAAGTTATGAATCAAGCTTTGTGAAAAGCGTTGTTACCCGCGCTAACCAAACGGAGTGAACGCGGTATGTTTTGGCTAAAAGAATTTCTTCGGGGGTAGGGTAGGTACAAGCCTTTGTAGCCAAGCCTTCAGTAAAAAATCGTGTTGACGCCTGACGGATTTCCGCATTTCGCAATCCAGGTTCGTAGTTACATAACGACTTTACCGGCCATTGACGCTTCTATTTCAACTTTTTACCCCCCAAAGATTCACTTTTCATGGAGGATAAGGGCGAGAAAAGGATCTTGGGGCGATCCTCCTTCTCTCTGCTCATCGAAAATCTCTCAGAAAGATTTAGAACCGTGTCGAAAGAATCAACCGGCGTGTGGCGCTATTTTAATACTACAACAACGAAAGGGAAGAGAAATGTGGTGCTCTTGTGCTATGCGTTAGGATTCATTGGACTCCACGCAGTTTGGCAGCACTCGAAGAAAAATAAGACTTTAATTAACGAAAATACTGAAGGTGAAGAAGAAAGTGCGACGACAAGTTGAACATCTTGACGAAACAGAACTAAAAACCCCCGAGCTAGATTTTCGTGATTTGTCATTCTTTGGACAATTTCAAGACCTACAATTTGTGAGAAAAGGACCTTGATATGACTGCAGACTGAAACGTGGTTAAAATAATGCAAGCATTCAAGGTTTCCCAAACTTCAAATGATCAGATAACTTTATCATTATCCTTGCTAAGTAATATATCACTTTTTCCCGCCACAGTTTCATCCATATTTAGCAACAACCATGCTGCTTCAAAAGAATGACATTCTCTCAGATTGATCAGACCCTTTCATTTTCTATTTTAGTTTAAGTAGTTTATTAACGTTTCCTTTTGTGACCTCTGTCATTATTTTGTTGTTTATTGCATTATATTTTTATCTTATTTTATTTTAAAGCTGCTTAGAGGCTGTAGTTTATATTAGTGTATAGGTAGGTTTATTTCCATTTTCATCAATGTACATTTTGCAAGTTAGCTGAATTGATGGTTTTCAACAATCAAGCATCACCGGCACAAACGTTTGACAAATAGGCATTCAGTTTCTCAGTGTCGATGTTTTGTGACAGATGATCACGTACTGTACATTAAAAATGAGGGTACAAGTAGGGTAATTAGTGCAAATAATATTTCATTCAAACTTCCCTTAAGTGAACACCCAAAATTCAAACATTTTAGTAGATGCTCACAGGAGATTGAGGCATAGCACATACAGGGAACAAAGTAATCAGACCATCCATCAATCCATTGTCTAATCTAAGGAAAATTACAAAGACAGTCACCCAACTGTGGTCAACAACAACAACAGATGGCCATTTCTGAAAGGTTCCAACTAAGAGGCTTTAACAGGGTCAAGAAAAATTTTAAAATTTGACACTGCCGTGATGTGTTCTATAAAACCTTTACATGTATTGTATGATCTACACTTTCCTCCCTACATCAATGCAGTGGCTTCGATAAAAAGTTTCTGAAGCTATCTCCTGTGTCATTGGAGGAGGAGAAAACAATACCAAGATTTTCTTTCATGGTCTTTCAGCAACTGGGTTAATAAGTCACATTCAGGCCCCTGGAGAACAATAGAGAAACTGATGTTTCAAGTGCAAACCCTTTGTCAGAGTGAACCACTCTGATGATTGGCTGTGGGCTGAATATCAAAACATCAGCTTCTCTATTTAGCTACAGCAGCCAATCTGCCCTTACAACTCAGTTTATGAAACCAAATTGTTGTATCTCAGTCCTCTTCTTGGCATGACACCCTAGAATCTTTTGAAGCAAACCTCTTTATTCATTTGGTTTCATTTGATCCTGCAATAGCAATTTTTTATAAATGCATACTAGAAATAATCAAATTTTAGCAAGTAAAATCTACCAAACAGAACACAGAGAAAGTTTACACAACAACATTGAAACCAGAAACCGTGTAAGTTACCATTTCAATAGTAGTCTGTGATGAAATAACTTTAATAAGGCTGCATTGACAGTTTTCAAAGGGCTGCAGTGCCACAGCTTAATCCCCCTATGTAAGGGAATTGTAGGCAGTCTTGGATTCTGGATTCCCCACCTTGGATTCCGGATTCCAGGTACTGGATTCCAGTCTTTTTCAGTGGAACTTGGATTCTGGATTCCAATCATTAATGGGAATCTGGATTCCTTGAAATGTATTCTGGATTCCAAAGCCCAGGATTCCAAATTCCACAAGCAAAATTTTCCCTGTTTTCCGAATTCCACAGTCAAAAATTTCCCAAATTCTAGAATCTTGACTGCCTTACAGTCGGCCTTTGTCTGCTTTTTTCACATTATTTAGGATCTCTTTTAAGACTGTAGTGCTTTTCGTTCTTCTAATGACAGGTTGCATTTTTTTAATTTCTGCCAGTTGTAACTTTCTCGAGATAACCTCTTCAAGATAACTTTCAAGAGCAACAGAGGGTTGAAATTGTGGTATCCAGTCTGATTTTACGTAATAAATTCGGTTTGTCTTTTTGCCCATGAAAGATATATTTTAGGTGCATTCTTCTTACAAACTGCTCAAAATCTTGAAGAAGATGACGCCTGATATGTTGTTCTTTTGTTAATAGTATGGGTAATGTAAAGATTTAGCCAGGGCTAAAAGCGAAGCTCTCCCTATTGTAATTACCCTGGGTATCAGGTTTTTCTCGCGTGCGGCGAAAGCCGCGAGAAAAACTTTTCGCGCGGGTCGCTATAAAGACTTGACAAAAACCGGAAACAGCGCTAGAAAAGTCTCTGGCACCCAGGATATTTTAATTTACTCAAAACATAAAATCGCGTGTTGCTAAACGACAGCGACAACAAATCAGTAGGTCTAATTGGCAAAAAAGAAAAATTTTGCACGTGCAGCCGTTATTGTTGCAACATGAAACTTCCTAGTCACGTTTGTGTTTGTGTCGCTCACGTTGTTTCTGTTCCGCTAGCATTTCTCATTTTCTCACCGCCGCTATGAAATTTTCATGTTGTTCTTCCAACGAAATTCGTCTCCTTTGTGTTCTATCTCTCGCTCTATCTTTTTGTCGCTATTTCTCTCGTTGACTGTTTGCTAACCTGTCGCCTACTTTCTCCTTTTGGGGTTAGGGTTAGGGTTCTCGTTTTGTCTGTCTGTCTGTTTGTCTTTCTCTTTCTCTGTATTCCAAATTTATGACATGACAATTAATCTAAGTTGATCAGTCCAGAGACATTGGAACACTTCCAGGTGAGTATGAGATAAAGATTGATGAAAGTGCAACTCCAGTAGTACACCAAGGCAGATCCCTTACATGATAAAAGACAAAAACAAGGCCGAACTATGCGGAAGAGATGGGCATTATCACCAAGGTTGACCAACCCACTAAGTGCTGGTCAACCCAATTGTTGTAGTTCGAAAGTCAAATGGAGATGTCCGTGTCTGCCTTGATCCTGTTGAGTTGAATAAAGCGGTAAAGAGNGCTATAAAGACTTGACAAAAACCGGAAACAGTGCTAGAAAAGTCTCTGGCACCCAGGATATTTTAATTTACTCAAAACATAAAATCGCGTGTTGCTAAACGACAGCGACAACAAATCAGTAGGTCTAATTGGCAAAAAAGAAAAATTTTGCACGTGCAGCCGTTATTGTTGCAACATGAAACTTCCTAGTCACGTTTGTGTTTGTGTCGCTCACGTTGTTTCTGTTCCGCTAGCATTTCTCATTTTCTCACCGCCGCTATGAAATTTTCATGTTGTTCTTCCAACGAAATTCGTCTCCTTTGTGTTCTATCTCTCGCTCTATCTTTTTGTCGCTATTTCTCTCGTTGACTGTTTGCTAACCTGTCGCCTACTTTCTCCTTTTGGGGTTAGGGTTAGGGTTCTCGTTTTGTCTGTCTGTCTGTTTGTCTTTCTCTTTCTCTGTATTCCAAATTTATGACATGACAATTAATCTAAGTTGATCAGTCCAGAGACATTGGAACACTTCCAGGTGAGTATGAGATAAAGATTGATGAAAGTGCAACTCCAGTAGTACACCAAGGCAGATCCCTTACATGATAAAAGACAAAAACAAGGCCGAACTATGCGGAAGAGATGGGCATTATCACCAAGGTTGACCAACCCACTAAGTGCTGGTCAACCCAATTGTTGTAGTTCGAAAGTCAAATGGAGATGTCCGTGTCTGCCTTGATCCTGTTGAGTTGAATAAAGCGGTAAAGAGCGAATTAACATTACCCCTTAATAACGGTGGAAGAGGTAGCCGCAAGTTAAGTGTGTCAGAAGCGAAAGTTCTCTAAACCCTTGATACAACGTCTGAGTAATCTACCAGATCAAGTTGACCGAAGAAAGAATTTGGCTTACTACGTTCAACACACCCTTTGGCGGATTTAAATTTGAGAGGTTGCCGGCAAGTTGGTCTGGTCTGATCCGCCCCAGACGTTTTTGAAATGGCCATAACTGAGATGTTTGAAGACATCGAGAAATGCGAAGTCATTGTTGATGATTTGATAGTGTGGGGAAAGAATACAGAGGATCATGATCGCACTTTGAAGCAGGTTTTGAAGAGAACAACGGAGAATGATTCAGATTTAATGGGTAAATATAAAAGTGCAAGTTTCAAAAATTTGACCCGTTTTAAGAGTGCGCTAAAGCGCTTCCTAAATATCCATTAGTTGGTCATCTATTGTTTTTATTGATCATTAGTAATCAAATTTATATTTTGTTAATAGTTTTTTAATGTCCTATTTTATATATTTTATATTTTACATAGCTTAAATCTGTTTTATCTTTTTGTTTAGGTAAACGTCATAGGGACAACCTCTAGTTTTCCTTTTCAAGATGTTTTTTTTATAATTTTGTTTTTCTTGAATAATACGCTAGGTTAAGTTGAATATGTGGGACATGGATTTGGGACTGATGGCTTGAGATCCAGCCCAGACAGAATTGAAGTCATTTTGAATATGCCAGTTCCACAAGACAAAACAAACCTACAACTGAAGATTTAAGGGTATGGTGAATTACCTGCATAAGCTAGCATTAAGAGGGGCAGATCCAGGATTTTTTTTAGGAGGGGGTGCT